TTTGACAAAATGTGCAAAATTCTGATTTTTATGAAAATTGTTGAAATAAAAGTTGTTTGCGATATCGATCTCTAAAATATTTGTTCATACATGATTTTTTTTAAATGGACCGTAATGGAAAAATTGTAGGAAAAGTGCTAAATTTAAATTTTTCAGTATTTTCATTTTCAATGAATATCTATAGAAAAATGTTTCGCGGTAGATGTATGTGGACAATGTATATATTTAGTTTATCCTCTAAACATTTATAGAGATGCTGCAATAGGTTGTACACAATAAACGGAAAAAGCCTGTAATAACTAGATAGGAAAGTCATGTGTTGGACACATCAGATTTTTTATTTTAAAAATTATTAAAAGTCATAAATTATTTTAAAATTAGTTATTTTGTCTTAATAACCTAAAATATTTTTTTAATTGTACATTTTCGTTAGTGGGTCGTAAAAAAATATACTGTACAACTCGAGTGGATTGTATGCATCGAACTAGACGATTGAGCACTCCGCCTACGGCGTCGCACACTGGTTCCAAATTCCTAGAATCCGGTCAAAATAGAAAAAATGTAATAACCAATTTTAAGAATTTGGATGTATGGGTCAGGTAGAAAGGTGTTTAGGCTACCTCTTAGTGATGGGAAAATTCTTAACAATTGCTTGTTAGTACATAGATTTTAGTTGCCGATTAGGGTTTGTCGAAAGTGGTAGTGTCCAGAGAATTTTAGATTGTGAATGAGTTGTAATATAAAGTGCATTATTTTGGACTTGAGTTAATTTATAAAAAATTGGCGTTATGGAACCAACTCCATTAGGTATGTAATTTCATTTTTATGTGTTTCAAAACATTACATTTAAATGCGACCGAATAAATAATAAACAAAATTGGTAATCCAAGAAATACACTTTTTTAAATAATTTAGTAATTCATCGAGTCGAAAAGTAGCACATACCACTATATGCCGGGCAGATTTGGTATGGAGGTTACAGATTAACTTATTATGTTTCAAATTTTGTCTAATACAGCTGCCAATAACTGCCTATTCAAAAATGGCAAAGCAAAAATAAAAAGATTGTATGAGTAAAAATAGCACTTAGCAATAATTGCTTCGGAACACCCTAAAAAATAGTAATTTAAAATGTACAGTGTGTTTCTAAAATAACATTATTAACTTCTTTAGCATATAGTACTCATAAATATAATTTAAAAAGTTTTTAAAAATAAAGGGCCTAAAATGCAAAATTGCAAAAAATTCAATATTTTTTTTTTGTTTCAGGCTCTTCCTGTAAGCAAGTAGTTTATAGTAGAAAGGAGATTTATGACATGGTAAAGGATCACTTAAGAGACGGGTTAACTGATCTGCTTAATCATCTTAAGACCGCGGTGTCTGAACGAAGTGGAAAATCAATAGAAATTCGTGAAGACATGAAGGCCTCATTTTCAACATTATTTTCTAAAATAAGGCAAAAATTGCAAACTGTTAAGAGAACTGAGCAAATTTTTTTTTAAAAATACCATGATTGGCTTATTAAACCCGTTACATTTCCGATATTAGAAGTTGTAACAACTTTGACGACATCAGTTAGAGGAAGACCAACAAAGGAATTTCTAACATCCAGCGAAAGATCCAAACGAAGAAAAACTGAAGAATTTCGTAGCTCATTTAGTCCACAAGAATTGGCATATGCAACGCAAGTAAGTCTGCGTTCTACTGGCCAACTAGATGCAAGTAAGCTTGTTAAAGAAGCCGCCCTTTGTACTCCTACTAGAGCATCAAAATATAGAAAAAGTTTTAAGGTTACAACTGAAACTCCTTTAACCAGTGAAGGAGCTCTCTCAATATTAATTGAGTGTAAGCTTACAAAAAGCCAGTACCAGGGTATACGGTTAATAAGTTTGGAACAAAACTGCAAGCTCTATCCTTCTTATAAGAAAGTATTGGAAGCAAAAAATTTATGTTATCCTCCTCGGAGTTCCATAAAAATTACGGAAAGTAGCTCTGAAGTCGAACTACAGCAATTATTAAATCACACAGCTCAACGTATACTACAAACCCAAGAAGAAGTTATTGCCACTTTGACTGATAAAGAATTGCAAAACTTAAATTTTTTTTGCAAATGGGGATGTGATGGAAGCTCCGGTCAAAGTGAGTACAAACAGACATTTGAAGGAGAAAGCATTTCTGATGCCAGCATATTTTTTACATCGGTCGTTCCTTTGCAGTTATTTTACACAGATATTAAACTTGGTAAAGATATAATTATTTGGAAGAATCCTAGAACGTCATCTCCACGATTTTGTAGACCACTTCGAATGCAATTTCTTCAAGAAACGACTGAATTGACGAAATCTGAAGCAAGGCATGTTGAAAACCAGATAAATACACTTTTGCCTTTTGAAAGAACCTTTAGAGAAAAAAGTGTTAAAATAACGTATATTATGAATCTAACAATGATCGATGGGAAAGTATGCAGTGCCATCACTGGAACAAAGTCATCGCAGCGTTGTTATTTATGTGGAGCAACTAGTAAAGATTTTATTGACATAAGTAAAATTTTAAAGAAGCCTGTTTTGGAAGAAAATCTTAAATTTGGACTATCCACTCTACATGCATGGATCAGATTCTTTGAGTGTGTCTTGCATTTATCTTACAAATTGGTTATTAAAAAATGGCAAGCACGAAGTGCTGAAGAAAAAAAAAGCAGTTGATAATAGAAAAAAAGAGGTCCAACGTAAATTTCGGTTGCATTTGGGGTTAATAGTGGACAAGCCAAAGCCTGGTTTTGGAAGTTCCAATGACGGCAATACTGCTCGACGCTTTTTTGAAAATTCTGAAATTTCTGCAAACATAACTGGCATTGACGAGACACTAATTAAACGTTTTCATGTGATCTTACAGGTAATATCTAGTAGTTACGATATTCATTATAACATGTTTGAAAATTTTTCTATTGAAACGGCAAAACTATTTGTTAATTTATATCCATGGTATTACATTCCCACTTCCGTTCATAAAGTGTTAATACATGGAAAACAAGTCATAGAAAATGCTTTATTACCTATTGGACAATTATCTGAGGAAGCCCAGGAGGCAAGAAACAAAGACCTAAAAACGTATCGTGCCGATTTTTCTCGAAAATTTTCAAGAGTGAAAGCAATGGAAGATATTTTTAATAGACTGCTTGTATCTTCTGACCCCTATATTTCAAGCATTAGAAAGCTTCCAAAGAAAAAATTAAAACAATTTTCCCCAGAAGCATTAGAAATGCTTATAGCCAGCGGTTCTCAAGATCAATTAAGACTTGACGGAGATGTAGATAGTGACTCTGAAAGTGAAACCGAGTTAACTGTTAGTAGTGATTCAGAATGATTATTGTGTGCAATTAATTTTTTATGATATAGTATTTTTTATGTTCCATATATTAATAATTATTATAATGTATTATTACTAGTTTTACCCAAATTAGTTTTCTTTAATAATCCACTAATTTAGTTAATTTTACAGGTCAGTTAAAAATAAAAAAATTTAAAAGGTCAAATATTTATTTTTAATTCGGCCATATTGTAGCCCGACACCTTGTTAACGACATTTTATGGTCATATTCGTAATTAGACACCTTAAAAACCCCTATATATGTGTTTTAGTACAAATCCAGCAGTTGTGGTATTTTTGGCCGAAAATTTTAATTTTGGGACCACTGTGCGTCGGGCTTAAATTTTGTCTTCCTGTGATATGGCCATCATATCCACTCTATCTACTATTTTCTACACCCACATGGATATTAGCTTATCTACGCACAGATTACAAAACGAAAAAGTATGCTATTGCCTTCAACTAACCGAACACCGTTTATATTATGATTAATGGACTGCTATTATTTTTAAAATTTTAAATAAGTGACAATTCTGTCAAAAAAATTGTCAGTATTTTTTTAGTTATTGAGATTAAACATACATTATTCTAATGTAGAATCGATAAATAATAGCATTTATGTTTTTTATTTCGTCTAAAATTATAAATAATATGTTTTTTTAATGTAATAGTACTATTTAGTCTTTTGGATATTTTACGTCACCATGTATTATCAATAGCAATAAAATCAAGTAGTTTATATGAAAGTTATTTATTGAATCCTTTATTCTTCGATCACTTATTTCAACGAACAAAAGGCAGTAAATCTGACAATCGCCCTTCGAGGAGACGCTTTAGGTGTCCTTCGGACTATTATATACGGTGGAAGAGACAACTCAAAAAGAGACTAAATATGCGATATGGTCACGAACATTTGGAGCATCTATACCAGTCACAGTTAAAGAATCGCAAACAGAAACGAGACGAGACTCTTCAAGAATACGAAGTAGATATTGCCAGGTTGGTGCGATTTGCTTACATATCAGCTCCGGAAAATATGATGCAATGTTTGGCAATCCAAACATTTTTTGATGGACTCCGTGACCACGAGATGCAGAGAACACTCCGCTTAGCCCGCCACAAAACATTGGTGGATGTAATTTCTTTGAAACATCAACTACTTCATCATTAAATATCCTATTTTTAAAAATAACACTTACGCTAGCACCTGTTTCTAATAGAAATATTAATTTATATTTAAAGAAAAATTCTACAAAATTTAAGCCGTAAGGAATAGTATATTATGTTACTAGGAGTAGAAGGCCAACATTATATGTTGAGCCCAGAATTTTGCACAGCTGAGGCGTTAGCCACCGTGGCGTTTAAGAGCTGTAATGTCTCCTCCGTTATCAACTAATATAGTTGCTGATGTTCTTCGAAAGCTATGTCCCGTGTACTCCTCTGGATTTAATAGTTTTAAAAATGTGGCAACTTCTTTGGGCGTATTTGAAATTTTATCAATCCCCATTACTACACGATGGCATTGACCATTTTGATATTTTATGGAAAACCTATCAAAACTTATATCTTTTGGTCGAAGGTTATATTATAGTAAATTAACTACGTTAATGATTTTTTGTATTAGGAATATTTACCAAAATAAAATTTCCTAAATCTTCTATATCTTCCACTTTCATTTGAACAAGTTCATCACATCTGCACGCTCCCGTGACTCCAAATAACATCAAAACCTAGAAAAAAAAAATTAAAATAAAAAAGCTGAAATAATAGAATATCTGTAAAAATAAATAACAGTTTAAAAAAATTATGTACCTACCTTAGTTGCTAAATATCTCTTGTTTGGTGCATTCTTAAGAAAGTTATCAAACTCCTGTTTAGAAAAAATTTTTGACTTCTTTGGTTTGTAATTATCACCTTTTCGTTTTAAGAAGGCAATTAATTTTGACTAGTTTTCAATTTTTACATTATTTTTAATATTTAGTTCTGATTTCAGCATTGAATACTGCTACCACATTGTTGAACTTTTGAATTTTTCAGAAAAATTAGTAAAATATGCGATCAGAACATTTTCTGAATAAAAATGTATGTGATTTTCTTCACTCCATTTCACAAATTTTGTGTAAGCATAATCGTAAACTTTCTTCGATTTCGTAGGTATTAAGGTTTCTATCAAAGATTTCGCTATTTCTAGCAATTCAGGAAGTGTTGATTGCATTTCTTCTGACATTTTCTTTTTAATTGAAAAACACAGGTATAACGAACGGGTTAACACTATTTTTTTTATATTCTAAATCATACACTGATAAACGTCAAATAAAATAAGTATTAAAATGACAGTTCCAGTCTACTTGATTGCAACGTTCATAATAAGCTCATTTAACAGGTTTGTGCTTTTTTATACTAGTACAAAAATGAAAAATATTTGTACTAGTATAAAAATAGGCTACTTCTACAACACGTGTACCTTGATATAATGTAAACATTATTATACGCTTGAAGAAAAAATATTTTATAGTTATTATATGCCATATTTTTAGGCATGAAAAAACGTGTTACTCGTTGAAGGGATTTCTAAGCTATTTGATTCATCCGAATTATTTACATGAAATATTCTCCTATCTTTGCCTCTAAAATTATTTCCTCTCATATTACTGTTAAATCTACCCTGGTATATATGTCCTCTGTTGTTAAAACTAACATTATTTTTAGAATAATTTTTATTACAATTATTTTGGTTATTAAACCCTCTAGAAATTCTATTATTGCCTCTATAATTACGTTCAAAATGTTGACGACTTCTCATATGATATGCTGGCGTATTGTCATTATTAAAATTATTGTTTAAATTAATTTCTTCATCTTTAGCTTCTTGGATTGCTTCATTCAGTTTTGCATGATTTCGAGCTTTAATAATAGTTTGCAAATTCCTATGTGTCGCAGTCCATTTGCAAAAGTATTAAGAGCAATTATTTTATTTACATTACTTAAAATCTGTAGATTATTTTCATTATCGTTGGCTTGGGTAAGCGTTGTCGGTTAACAATTCTTCTAACGTTTTCCCAAACTGTTCGATAGTTTTTGAACCTTGCTTAGCATTATGTAGTTGTGTAGCTAATGATGTTAAAGATTTTTAAAAATGAAAAACTTTTTAAGAACACTAACTAGATTTAGATTATTTTTATAAATTTTATTTAGTCTAATTTTTGCATTTTGACTTAGACTTTTCCTTAGAATATAAGTTGTTAATAATTTCTTTCCTTCATCATCAAGCATAGCATCATACAATTTAATAGCATTAATTAATTGATTAGTAACAGTTTCGGTACCATTCATAACTGGTAGCAGACTAGCCACGGTTTTTAAATCAAACTTTTCAGCCATTTGAACTTTATTTGAGCAATCTGAAAGAGAAAAGTCTGATTCCAAATTGGTTTCCCGTTCAGTTTTTTCTATGTTTGTCAAAACTGTATCCTTTTAACTAAATTAACTGTAATAACCTCAATAGTTTTATCAACCACATTTGCAAAATCTTTAATATAAGCTTTTAAGCTAAAATCTACGTCTGATTTATTTAATATTTTTACCTCTTTAGCAGTATCTTTAAACTTATCTAATTTCTTAAACTTACAGTTAGTTACATTTAGGCCACTTCTTCTTTCGTTACTGTCTTTTAATAGATTTCTATGAAACACTTTTAGTTCTTCTATTAGATTTTCAAATTCCTTTTGCAAACTCATTCCATTATAATGATTATTTTATTTAGTCATACCTAAAAAGCTGAAAAAAAAAATCTTCTGGTATTTCCTTCTCTAAACTAATTCTTGGCTAGCTGTAATTTGCTTAGCCACATTTCTCTCTAACATTTTCTTGCATTTCTTGAAAACTAGCTTCAACAAAAATATGAATGCCAATACCACGAACATTGCTTCTATAATATTTTTGGGTGTGAAAAATTCTGTTGTATTTGTTTGACCTCCACTGTTTCCACTTTGAGCGATTATTACTTCTTCCTTTACCTCTTTAGAATTTGTATTTTTAGCCATCTTCCCAATAATTCTTTATTTAATTTTCTTAAATATTTCCTTAATTTATTTCCATAATTATTCTTCTTGCCATATTTTTATATATTTTTTATAATATTCTGAACTGGCAGGATCGCCATGTGATGGTACTAGTCTTTTGGATATTTTACGTCACCATGTATTATCAATAGCAATAAAATCAAGTAGTTTATACGAAAGTTATTTATTGAATCCTTTATTCTTCGATCACTTATTTCAACGAACCTACACAATTGTTACGTCGTCGAAATAAGTGTCGAATCAACACGTTACAAAATATAATATAAAATAATAAAATACATTCCTTAACCTAATTCTACCCAAGTTCAAGGAACTATAACGACCACAAAAATTATATACAGTATGATAAATATATATAAGTACTTATAGTATTATTATTATATAAAAAAAATATATACTTATCTACAAACAAATCTGAAATCGATGCACACGAGAACATGAGGTGGACCGATGGCAGCTCAAAAATAGCGGACAGGCAACTTAATTAGATTCTATCGTCGCGACTAGTTGATTTTAGACGAAGGTAGTTCAGACTCCAATCCAATTTCAATCCTATATAATTTAAAACCTTTTCCCGTTTTAACATAGAAATAGTATAGAAAGCCGATTCCATATATCAAAAATGAAACCATAAGGAGAAAATAGTGTGTCGGAGCTCATGCGTATAACGGTGCTGGCGCGAACAGGACCGGTGCAAGTTTTTTATTGATCGAACAAATAGTTCACACGATATTTTAATCATACATTTTTAGAGATGATTCTATACAAAAAACGATTAAAAAAATTTCAAGTTAAGGTAAATATGGTTCTGACAGTCCTTATTAAGAAAGATATGGCATAAAATATGAATTAGTTAATTTTCGGCAATCATTAGTACAGTAGTCATGAGATTTTGCTTGTGATTTTAAAAATACTTTCCAGAAAAACCACGTGCTCAGGTTTTGACTACGTTTATTATTAAACAGCGAAATTATATACAAAAACTTTAATCCATAATCTAAATTAGGTACTATCACAAGAAAATCACTGTTACAATAATTAATTACTTAACCAAAAACTAAAATACTTTTTAGGTACCTACGTAACCAGAAAGGAGCTGGAACATTTATCCTAATATTGATTTTGTCTCTCCCTACGGTAAAACTTAAAACAATAACAAATTGCCTATCTACTAGGGTCGGTAACTAAACGTATATACATAATGGGCGGATTTTGTTTATACTTAATATTACACTCGCGCATTTAAATATAACTATGCATATAAATATTTACAAACAAAGATACTTTTCCAAACAGGCAATCATTAGTACTGTAGTCACGAGATTTTGCTTGTGATTTGACATCTTATTTGATAATATAATTTGCTACAACTAAATTTAATCTGTGGAGTGCAAAATAGGGCCCAGGAATATTATGTTCGATATTTTTTTACAATTTGTCAGCCGAGTCGTTAGACAGAAAACCTTTCATGTTACCATTTTCAATATAAATTAAAAAATACTACTACATTTTCTTGGTACATATTTTATTTTAATTTTGAACCCTTTTAAAAGGGTCTTTCGGTTCCATAATAAAAATTAGTTGCTGCTTACTAGAAACATTCTATATAGCCTAAACCAATTTATAGTTTGTTTTCGATAAATTTAATACAAAGATTTAAAGTCTTTAGTCGATGATAACATTCCACACCAGCACATTGCAAACCTATTTTATAAATAATAGGAATAAACTTGTAAATCATTAATTTGGTAGTTATCTCACTCATATGATTTTTTTGTTTATATGACTATTTCGATTTCTAAATATATTTTGGCCTTACAATACGAAGCGTTTTGTATCTACCACTTTTTTAATGAACGATGAATGTTGACAGGCGTGTACCTTTTTCGGAACAAGAGGCGTTTTAACGAAGGAAATGATTTTCGAAATATCTAGTTAGTTTTCGGAAAAATAGAAAACGTTTGAAGAAAGTTGTCAATAACAGTTTGTCGTTCATGTGTTTCATTTTGATCAGCTTTCATACTAAATTGCGTAGAATATTTTTCCGATTCAAAATCGAGATTCTCGATATTTCCACAGTTTATTTATAATACCTTCTAAACTGGATTTATCTATCATTTTATATACTTTATAATATATGTTCATGCCCTATTTCTCACTTTATTAACAATTTTTTTTAACATACTTCAAAATGGTAGGATATTCTCAATTCGTTGAAATATTTTTTATGTATGTTGAGCGATAATTCTTTACCACGTTGCCCGATTTTTAGGATTCTTTTTGTTAGAAAAGGAAACAGTTTTATATACATTAAGTCAAGATCTGAAGATGGGATCCATAAGAAAATAATTAACATCTTTATTTTTAAAGTAGGTTTTTTTTTTTAATTTCTTTAAACCTTACTGGTTCGAACGCGGTAAGGAATGAAGAAATGTAAATAATTGTTGTGCCAGCCAAAAAGCGAATAGGAAGTACCGATTAAAATATCGAGTGACAGAAGAGTTCCTAAGATTGTTGAGATCGGGTTTATGTTTTAAAATGCCTTAAAACCGATATCGATAATGTCTCCCCGTCGCTGGGCAGCCTGTATATAAATATACAGCTCTCTATTTACATAATTATAATT